TTTGTGGAGGAATAGCCTAAGGTAACGTGATGGTCCTTTTGTGGAGGTTGACAGAACGGGTAGATAGGGAAGTACGAGCTCAAAGCTATTGCAGATTCAGCAAAGTGGCAGAAGACATGTCCAAGCATGACGTGGACACAAGCTCTGAAAGTCATCTAGAGCTGAACTGCAATGAGTCAGAAGGGTGTCTCAAGAAACAAAAGTTAGAGACAGTCAGGCAGGTTGGTGAGAGTGGAGCCCAGGAAGATTTAAGGTGATGTGTCTCTGTTGCTTTGTGCGGCATATATTAGAAAATGTATTGAAGGAAAACAACAACCACAGTATTTCTAACAGTTCTTGCATTTATTTGCTTATTTATTATTTAGTATGTATGCACACATGTGCACATATGTGGAAGTCAGAGAACAATCTGCAGGAGTCATTTCTCTCCTACAATGTGAGTTCTGGGGATGGGGTTTGGGGCATCAGCCTTAGAAATAAGCCATCTGGCTAGCCTGATCCACAATTTTTTTTCTTATGCTATACCAAAAAAGGAAATCAGAATCAAGATATAGGTGATACTAGATGTAGAGGAAAGGTCCATGTGTAAGAGCTGTTACAGAGGTGGACATGGCGTGATTTTGCTATTGCCTGAATACGTAAGGGAGCTGAAGGAGCAGGAGTAAAATATGCCTCCAAGCCTCTGTGTGTGTGCATGTATACATGCATGTGTGTACACACACACATGCACACACATACACACATACACACACCCATAAACTCACATGTGGAAGACAGATTAATGTTAGATACCTTCTTCAGTCACAAAACAAGGTCTCTCACCCAATTGAAACTTACGAATTTGGCTAGACTGGCTGGCCTGCAAGCCCAAGAGACCTGCCCATCTATACTTCCTCGGCACTGAAGTTACAAGTGAATGCTACTGCAGCCGACATTTTATGTCGATGCTGAAATCCATACTCAGGTCTTCATGCATGTGAAACATGACATAACCGTCTCACAAAGCCCCTAGTTCCAATGTCTTAAGTCTGAGAAATTGGCAAAATAAAGTGACCTGAAACACTGTGCCCAGAAAAGGCCACAGGCTACAGCACAACATTTGTACAGAGAAGTTTCGGTTGAATGGCAGAATCTAGTTGAAGAGTATCAGGGACTCTGTGAGTGAGGAGGAAGTTGAGGAAAGGGTAGAAAGCAAAAATTTAAGAAGCTGAAGTGAAGAAAGGGGAAACGGGGTGGTGATGGGGGACATTGCTGTATTTTAAAATGAGAGTTTGGGGACTGGGAAACAAGGTGGCATAAGGGCCAGTAGTAATATTCTTTGAATATTTATTTTCATATTAATCACAGGACAACTACAACTTATCCTATTTTACAGAGATCACAAATGTAGACAGCTTTTTCTACTACATACTGCCACACAAGGAGTGAGAGTAGGTCCCAGGAAGAAGGGATTTCTGGAAAGAGCAAACATCTGGTGGAAGGAAATGGACTGAAAGAGTTAAGAAGGAAAGAATGTAAGATTCATCTGCAACCATTGCATGGGGCAGGGAGAATAAATGCAAAGCTATTTTGAGTGGCAAAGTGGGAAGTTGAGGTTGGGAAGCCCCAAGTGTCTCAGAAAATGATGGAATTATTGGACCTAAGAGTCATTATTTAAACACAAACCAGAGAAGATACTGTGAGATTTTCAGGAGATAGAGAGAAAAAATGGTCGTGCTTTAGAAGTCAAAAGGGTTTGTGGGAGCTGCAGTGGGTGATAAGACGGAACAGTGTGTGAGCAAAGTCATCATTTCAGTATCAGTATTGATTTTCATATTTGTGAAAATAAACCCAATATTGTCATATTTGACCAATGTGATCAGTAATCCTACCAATCTACCAAACAATCTTTGCTGTGAGCTGGAGTCTACTGAAGCAATTTTGTATGTATTTTTTTAATAAAGCAATGATGCAAAAACCTACATTTGTGGGCGAACGTGGACCAGCTCTAGCTTCATCTGTTGCCATTAAATGTAATTTTATTGAACCAACCTGTAGTGCCCGAATGGGTGTGAGAAAGGGAGGGAGGAGAGGGAGATCATTAGCATAAGATGGCATATAAAAGTAATTATTTTGACTATAAAATATTATTTTGTAATAATAGTTATTCAACACTTTGTGGAAATACAATTATTACAAAGATATTATTCTAACAGAAAGATATTCTTCTCTCCATACTATTACTACCAATAAGCCATACAGAAACCCCCACTAGACTTTGCCTAAATAAAAGGTTTACCTCAGTAACAACACAGACCCAAAACTTAATGAGCAGCTGGTAACTCTGGCGGAATTATAATAATGGTAGTCCAATCATTTCCTTCACCTTGAACAATTAATGACCTTGCATTTATAAGTCACTATCACTAAAATTAGTTCCCTAGAATGGAGTGAAGTGACTTCTAGCTCATTCTATAGTTTCCAAAAGATCTTGGGAAAATAACTTATGGGAACCTCGATTGACATATCCACTAAAAGGTGATACAATGCCTCTTAGGAGGGAGGTATGAGAAAAACTGGAACTAGCACAACTAATATCCCTGAGACATAGTACATGCTCAAGTAAACAACTGTGCCTGGTGGTCCACAGAATGAGGTATAAGGTCTTTGCAACAGGATGCCCCATATCCAGGGGAAGGATCCTTATTTGTGACATGAGCAAACTGGTTCCTGAGATTTTTCTAGTTCTAGACCAGTATTCATTTGCAAACTTCTTAGTGGGCTATGTAAATAATTTTTTTTGGTTAGTGGTCCCGTGGGATGGTTTGTGGCATGAAACAAATTCCCCTGGGCCAAGTGACAGCTGCTAATTTAGAACAGGAGGGAAATCAAGTAAGAAATGCTTCCCTAAAGCCCATGTTACAGACAGGTCACATTCTGTGTTACTTTAAGTCATTTAGAGTGTGCATATTTTGAAGGGAAAGGAAGAGAAACAGAATTGTTCCCCACAGGAGTCAGAGCAGTGAGTTTGCACTTCAAGTGACAAGTTAGGGGCTTCTTTTCAGATCATTAGTAATTATATAACTTCAAGTGAGTTATCTAACATATCTGTCCTTGTCCCCTCCTCTGTAAAACAGAAGTAATGATTCATCCCTTGTCTCCTCTGCTGGGCTGAGAAGAGATGTCCCAGGAGGAATTTGTTTGTACTTATAAAATAGGATAAAGAATAAGAAATTCACCTGTCCAGCCCTCCATGTCTTTAGTAAGATTCCGTAACCTGAGTAGACAGTCTTAATTCCACAGCTTTCAATTAGCCAGATGTGTGGCACTACAGAGGAATATCTGGCGTTCAGAAAATAGCAATGAAATTCAAATGTGTGGTTGACATAAACAATAGATGTATACTCCCAACACAAGACACATAAAGAAAGATTAATACCCTTAACTTGTCAGAGCAAAAAAGACTGTGGTTCATTGGCTCATCACTTCAGAAGCAGCTCATAATCACTAGCAGATGGTGCTCACTGTGCTCTTTCCTGTCTTAGGCACATATGTCCACTCACTTCTTACGATAATTCTATGGAAAGGACACTGTTCTCATTTTATAGATGCATAAAGTAAAACCTACAGCTCAGGGGTGTCTAACAAGAATTTCAACAAAGCAGCTAATATTTATTCAGATATGGGTGCTTTGCATAAATCCAGCATCCCTTTGATGTTCATGAAGTAGCTATAACATATGAGTACTGTTTTATATCCTGGTCAAGAAGCAGCATCGTTTGTTTCTGTTTAGAAAGAACTGCAATAAACTCGAATATAAGGTAACTTACCATCGTCATAACTGAAATGAAGTGACTAGAACAGGATGTGTTGAAGCAGGGAGCATACACAAGAGCATGTGTGATAGGTGGAGGGTTCAGAGAAGGCCTCTGGGTATAGCTGATGTTTAAGCTACACCTGAGGACAAAAAAGAAAAAGAAAAAAAAACATGCTGACATGAACCATCATCATCTACCTCCTGTAACAAGCTGTGAGACAAGGATTATCACTATTTCTAGTCTAGAACTCAAAAATCTGAGGTCCAGGAAACTTGACCAACACCTCAGAGTAATTAGAATTACTGTTTAAAACCAGACAGTCTGGCTCACAGGTTGTGATCTTACATGTGATATCACAGAATATTCTTAAAGTGACCTGCTTTCAAAGTCAGAGTCAGAGGGAAAGAAAGGCCTAGACCATCCCTCCTGATTTTAAGGACAGTCCTAGTCATAATCAAGAATGACATCTCTGGGCGACTACACTGTTCAGAAGCATGAACAAGCCAATAAAAATATGCTTTGGAATATTAAATTATGAGAACAACCAAGTGAAAGCCAGCTAGACAAATGCATAGAGCACAGAGGAAGCTCAGTGTTATTTTCTTAACATTCACAAGACTTTGGGTTCAAGCCCCAGCAGAGAAAAAAAATACATAAGGACATACATTCATGGTGTGTTCTAAGAGTATAGCTCACTGGTAATCAACTACATTGTGATTTCTTGAATGTTAACATGTGTCCAAACACAATTATCATTCTAGCTCAGATTCCTGGGTCCATGTGCCCTTGCCTGAGATAGCCTCTCCAGATCCTTTCCTATAACATAGTTGTAGACCTTTCCTTACATCTGAAGCTACTAGGAAGAGCACAATTCTCAGTGACACCATCAAGGGAATATTAAGAGAAGTATTAGTTGGTGCCAGAGGGTAAAATTGCCAAAGGCTTTGTCTTTGATCTCACCTTACTGTTTTACTTTCAGGAGTTTGAAAACAGAATGACAACACCCAGAAACTCCGTGAGTGGACCTTTCCAAACAGAGCCTACAAAAGGCCCCCTTGCCATGCAACCTGCTCAAAAAGTAAACCTCAGAAGGACACCTTCACTGGTGGGCCCCACACAAAGCTTCTTCATGAGGGAATCAAAGGCCTTGGGGGTAAGACTGTTTTCCTCTATTCCACACTCGGAGATACTCTGGCCTGCAGACATTGATGCTTTAGACTGTATATGAAATTCAGTCTGCCTTACACAGGCAGGTTTAAGTGGCTGTGTTCTTTATGTTTCTCAAAGTGGGTGATGCCAAAAGGTACCAGTTAGCACCTGGCTCACTGCAGAATGATCTTACATCATCTCTTGGTTTGAAGGACCGGGCTGGTCCATTGTTCAAATTCCAGACATATCTGTTCCTTGAAAATGCTCTGTATGGTGGGAGAGACAGATCTGAACAAGGAGGAGGCAAAATTCTGGGCAGCGCTACCACTCCTTTTAGGACCTTTGCACGGTTTTCACTCGGGTCTCAGGCTTTCCATGTTGCCTTTGACCCCTACCAGTGAGTTCAGTTCACCATTAGTGCCTTTCTTCTCTCCCCAGGCTGTCCAAATCATGAATGGCCTCTTCCACATTTCCCTGGGGGGACTGCTGATGATCCCCACAGGGATCTTTGCACCTATCTGTTTGAGCGTATGGTACCCTCTCTGGGGAGGCATTATGGTAAGTTACAATAAACAGCAACAACTTCTGAGATGTTGAAGGAGAAAAAAAGCCAAAAAGATCTAGGTTGTTTCTGTGTTGAGGAAAGTAATATGGGCAGGAAGAATTCTATGGGGTTGGCATGGTTAAGTAGGAAGAAGGGCACACTACACTATGAGGCTCCTGTGGTTGAAGGTGGCTATGTTCCATGTGGATTCACAGAAATGAGCTCTGCCAGCTGTTCTCAGGGAAGACTGGACAAAGCAGTCTCTGCCTAGCCGGCTAATGCAGGGTTTGAGACGCCGGATATTTGGCACTTTGGAAGGAAAGGAGAAATGGAATGTCCTTAGTCCTCCCATGTCTCTACAAGTTTATTAATTACTATGGCACCTGATGAGATTATTTTCATCTCAAATAATCTTTTGTACTTATGAGTTAAGCAACACTCCTTTGGGCTACTTAATGTACACATTCCCTAGCCTTATAATTCTGTGGGTGACATAAGGCTAGGTAGTGTTTATTTTGCCAGAACACTTTTCATGACTGTGTCCCTCTAAGAGTGAGTCCAGAATTGAAGCTTCTACGAACCAAGGTAGATTGGTCTTAAGACTTTTCTGCATTTTATTGCTTGAACTTTAGAAAACTGAGAAATAATCACTTTTACTTCCTGTAGCGACCAATGATGTGCTGAAGTGTATCATATTCAAATTCTGCCTTCTACATGCTCACTCAGTGGCATCAAGGCTATTAAGTCACTGTGGCCCCCCACATGAACATTTTCAGTAATTACAATGAGACAGATAGGCTGAAGAGATGGCTAAGTGGTTAACACCACTGCTCTCCCAGACAAGCCAGGTTCAACCCTCAGTACATACAAGGCAGCTCACAGCCGTCTGTAATGCCAGCTCCAGAGGAATTCAGCACTGTCTTCTGGCCTCCTTAGCTAGGCATGCTCTTGGTGCACAAACATGCAGAAAAAAAAAACAGCCACACACATAAAAATAAATAAATTTCATATTTTTAATAAAAAGGAGAGGTAAAATTGTTTTTATTCACACCTTCTCTCCTACCTGTGCTTCCTAGGCACCATGCCTAATTCTGTTTTTAAAACTAGAGGCAAAGTCTAATTGTAGCCTGTGTAGATAAGGAATAAGTCATGTTATTGGGGGTGATTTTTTATGTTTCTATTTGATAGTATGGGCCTAGAGGGTTCTCACTGACAAGTAAAGGTGTGAATTCTGTCTCTCTTTTCTTATTCTATTCCTAGTTAATGATCCCAAAGGTTGAACAGCACAGACTGCATGTGCGAACCTAAATAACAAAGAAATATAGCTTCCAAGAAATGATTTAATGAGATAAAAATTTAACGCATAGTTTAATGAAAGACACATACACAACAACAACAACAAAAAAAAATAGATGGTTCCTTCCCAACCAGTTATCAGAGAATAACAGTCACTCTTTCTGTCTCTTCCCTTCTGCCCCTCCCCCTTTCCTGCCCACCTCTCTCTTTGCAGTACATTATTTCAGGATCACTCCTGGCAGCCGCAGCAGAGAAAACCTCCAGGAAGAGTTTGGCAAGTAATCATATGTCCTTTCCCACACACAAGACACACAGCCACTTTCTCAGTAGAAAACAAGCCCAGGGACCCTCAAAAGACCTTTGGAGTCACAGACTTTTCTCTGAGCAATGGATCCTATGTCATTCTGGTTGTGATGTAATTTTTTTTCACAAGAAACTCAAAAATGGCATCTGCCTTAAGTCTGTCCATGGTGAGGGAATCAAAGGCAGGGTCAGAAGACTGGACTTAATACTCTTTCATTTCTAAGTTCCCTTTGGAGAGGACATACATGGCGTATTTTGAAAGAATGTTACTTAGGAAATGACGCACCATTTAGGAAAATGATCCATAAGCTTGAGCTGGGTTCCAGTCTAATCGTAGTCTTACAATTAGACTTAGAACCCCAAGTGAATACAGGAGTACCCTGCAGTTTTCTGCACCCCCATGAACGTAAGTCCTAGTCTTGACAGAAAATCAATATAAAAATGAGATAGGGCATCAGGTGTGATAGTGTAGTAGAGTGTAGCCATAATGCCCACAGTGGCTTGTCCATAAAGATTTTTTTTTATTCTCTTAAAATAAGTAACCTATAGAATTCCTGAATCTGGGTGGGTGACCAGAGCTCACCACCAGGTTTTTCTCTAGAAAATCCTCTAACAGTATTTATGTTTACTAAGTGCAAGTCACTTTCAGTTGGTAAAGAACTAAGTAAACTGAGGTGGTTCTTATCTATAAATTATCTGAAAATCAATTTAGGAGAATTTACAAATATCAAATACAGCCAAAAATTACCAAATTGTCATTAATAAGTCACATAGCTAGGAGTTCAATATGTTAGTGAAACACATCAATAATAACTCATCATGTGGCATATGTATATCAAGCTTTTATCACCTGCACAGGTCAGAGCAGTCACAGCCATGTCCTCTAGACTGTGCTACCAAGAAAAATTTGCCCTAATGGATGACATGAATAAGAAGCAGTGTTGTTATTACCATGGCTGATACATTTTATTTGATGGTTGTCTTAATCAGGGTTCCCATTGCTGTGACAAAATTCCATGACCAAAAATTAAGTTGGGGAGGAAAGGGTTTGTTCGGCTTACACTTCCACATTTCTGTTCATCACCAAAGAAAGTCAGGATAGGAACTCAAACAGGGCAGAAACCTGGAGGCAGGAGCTGATACAGAGACCATGGAGGGGTGCTGCTTACTGTCTTGCTTCCCATGGCTTGCTCGGCCTGCTTTTTATAAAACCCAGTACCACCAGTTCATGGATGGCACCACCCCAATGGACTGTGTCCTCTCCTTTCAATCATTAGTTAAGAAAATGCCTTATAGCCAGATCTTATGGAGGCATTTTCTCAATTAAAGTTCCCTCCTTTCTGATAACTCTAGCTTGTTCGTGAAGTTAACACAAGACTAGCCAATACAATGATACAAACCTGGAAGGTTCTATCTATATCTGCTTCAATGAGATTTAGTAACGATATACGAGCTTCCTTATCCCTCCGCCCATTGTGTTATTATGCAAAGAGGTAATGATCCAGATACCATTAATCCTCACTTGCTCATTGTTTATTGCATGTCTGGGAGGTCAGTGGCAATGAAAAAGTTCAGAGATGCAAAATGTGGGTAAAGGATCACAGAATTTTGGTTTCATAAATTGAATGGATGGTGATAGCTTAAGACAAGGGGACTGGAAAAGGGAGGAGAAGGAGGCTAACACACTGACAAAGAGGCTAAAACCCATAGCAAGAACTGAACTAGAACTCAGAGATAGTGTCTTCATGAGTCAGGGGAATGATGGCTGAAATCCAATATCCTGCTTTATGTTTTCCAAATAGAAATCAAATCTAATGAACAAACCTGCCTCTGTTTCAGGTCAGAGCGAAAGTGATAATGAGCTCTCTCAGCCTCTTTGCTGCCATTTCTGGAATAATTCTTTCAATCATGGACATACTTAACATTACAGTTTCTCATTTTTTAAAAATGGGGAGACCGGATTTCATTAAAACTTCCAATCTATATGTTGATATCTACAACTGTGAGCCATCTAATTCCTCAGAGAAAAACTCCCCATCTACACAGTACTGTAACAGCATGCAGTCTGTGTTCTTGGTAAGTATGAAAGCAGGGATTCCTCAGAGAAGAAATGTGCTGTGCTTTACTATGAACATCAACTCCAGATACAGGTACTCTGTGTCTGCTATTTTTTCTGTATGTGGCTTTGGACCAGAACCCTCCTCATATACTGCCTCCATTTCGTTAGCTGTAAAATAAAATAGAGAGAGCGATACTCTCTATCTAGTTGCCATCGGCAAGGAACTTAGAACAGTGTCATTTGTATAAAAGATTCTATTTGTGACTATCATTTCTTCTGAGGAATGCTCTTGTTGTGTAGTCCTGGGTGGTCTAATATTGTCTATTTAGCCTAGACTAGCTTCAAATTCACAACAATCTTGCTTCTACTTCCTGAATGCTGGACTTACTGGCACATGCCACCACACCAAGCTTTATGTGTTCATCACTGTTAATATCATTGATGACATTAACAATTACTATTACTAATATAAAATGGAAGAAATTCCTAAAATGTCATTGACATACTAGTCATCATTCACTTTTGAATGCAGAGTTTAAAGGGGAAAGGAAATACATCTCTCAAGTGTTGTAGAGTTTCCTCACTGTGATATCACATCCCCATAAAGATGATACTATTTCTTTTGAGACAGGGTTTCATGTAATCCAGGCTGGCCTTCACTGTACTGTGTTGTCAAAAATGACCTTGAACTTCTGATCTTTCTGACTCCATATCTCCTAGTGCTGGGATTTTACAAGGATGTGTCAATATGCCTAGTTTACAAAGTGGGACTGGAACCCAAGACTTCAAATATGCTAGGGGTGTATCCTACCAATTGAGCTATGGTACCAGGCCAAGCTGAAAGAATTTAGTGTGAGTCTCTTTCTTTAAAAGAATTGATTTTTCAGTTTCCTATTCTTGTGCCTGAAGATGCTATCTCACAGCAACCACTCCCCACAGCAGCTCAGTTTACTCACCTAAAGAACTGAGCTGAGTTGTTGCTCATTGAGTTCCAGCCACTTGTCTTCGCTGTGCACTGTGCATGTCCATCTGCTCTTCTCTCACCCCTGCCTCTGTGCTGTTGGTTTCCAGGGCATTCTGTCGGTGATGCTGATCTCTGCCTTCTTCCAGAAACTTGTGACAGCCGGCGTTGTGGAGAATGAATGGAAAAGAATGTGCTCCCGACCCAAATCAGTAAGTTGGAGTTACCTGTCTACAACAACCTAGAAAATTAATGTCTACAAAAACTGTTTACATAAAATATGATCTGGTGAAATTTTGGAACTAAGAGTTTCATTGGAAAAAAAATGGTTTTGTTGTATTTTTTTTTTGAAATCAGAAAACACCAGTAATGACAGCAAATATTTTGAAGAGTAACTGAGTCTATGGTTAGACAGATGCTACAGTTCCACATGTGCACAAGTATGCCTGCCAATCAGCCTTTCCCTCTACTTGACTTCAGACTCCCACTCCCACTTTGTCTTACTGTTCAGTGCAATAATGAGACAGCATGACCAAGGTGACTTACAAAAGAAAACATTTATTTGGGGTTTACAGTTCCAGAGGATCAGTTAGAGTCTGTGACCATGATGGGGAGGAGCATGGCAGTGGGTAGTCGGCCATGGCTCTGGAGAAGTAGCTGAGAGCTTACTCCTGATCCACAAGCAGGAGACAGTGAGAACTAATTAGAAATGGCTTTGACTTTTGAAACCCCAAAGCCAGTGACACATCTCCTCCCACAAGGCCACACTTCTGATCATTCCCAAACAGTTCTTCCAACTGCAGAACAAGTATTAAAAATTTTAAACCTATGCTAGAGATTCTTATTCACCCCTTGATTATATGCCCTCTTCCATCTTAATGTGTAATATAAGATGGTGGAAGGCTAAAGGCTAATGAAGTCACTAGTTCTTGGATATTTTTTAGTGTTCCCTTCTCCTCCTACTCCCTTCACCTCATTCCAGTTCCAAAACAATAGTATTTCAAAGAGTCTCCAAAACTGGGAAATGTGAATGTTCCAACAGTACCTCTATTATAAATATCTCAAAGTGACAGACTTTAAGATTTAGCTTATAACCTAGTAGTCATTACTGATTCCTTCATTACAAATATGGAAATAAGGTAGAGTGAAAATAACTTCCCCAGGTTATCAACACTAAAGGCAAATCAGTTCTAGAATCAAAACTCCTCTATTTTTGACATTTTGTTTTTTTCATGTGGTATGATTAGTCCAGGCAAAATGGCAAATGCCTGAAGCCCTTAATGATTTACTTAGACTTGAGATTTACTAAGTTGGTGATTTGATAAGAATCTGAGCATCCATGGAGCCAATCCTGGTATCTATAGTATATGGTTAACTAAACAAAAAGCCTGAGAATAATTTGCATTTGGATATACGTAGATTGTTGGAAGGTGTGTCAAGAGTAAAAGTCAAATGACATTTGTTTATGTTCTAGAATGTGGTTCTGCTGTCAGCTGGAGAAAAAAAAGAGCAGACGATTAAAATGAAAGAAGAAATCATTGAGCTAAGTGGAGTATCTTCCCAACCAAAGAATGAAGAGGAAATTGAAATTATTCCAGTGCAGGAGGAAGAAGAAGAAGAAGCAGAGATAAACTTTCCAGCGCCTCCCCAAGAGCAGGAATCCTTGCCAGTGGAAAGTGAGATCGCACCTTAAACTCTTCCTTTATAAGCATTATTGTTTAGAGAGATTCCAAGACACATAGTTACCCTCATCTCTGTGGCCTTCCGCAATCTATTCTCCATAGTTCCACAGCTTACCTTTGCATAGAGAAGCCACATCTAGCTCTCCTCCACATTTGGAGAATGCAGTGACTATAAAAGGTTGTCTTTTTCCATGCTTAGGGAATCTTAGACTGGAAGAAATGCTGAAGAACCCAATTCTCATTCACCTTTACCTTGGATGGGTTTCTCAGTAGTGGTAATGCTTGTTCTCCATTTCCTCCATCAGCAGTTACAGCAGAGGGAAAAGACACGTGATTGTTCCGTTCATCTCTGAACTCTCCGACTCCTTCTACAATTTTAGTAGAGTCACTTTTGCATTATTGTTTTAAGGAAAATGGCAATAATAATGAGAGAAAATGAGACACCTATATGCCTGTGGGGAAGACACACAGTGTGGCATGTTCTTCAAGCTTCTGTATCCCACTTGGGAAGCTGTGAAAGGCCTATTCCTAAGCCTGTCTCTGTGCAAAAAACATAGCTTACACATAAGCAAAGCTCTGTGTCTTAACTTTGCCCAACTCCAGTTTCTTGTTTCTGGTCACATCATTCATGTACGTATATTCTTAAACTTGTATTTCATAAACAGAGTAGTTTATGAAATAATTTCACTTGGTCTTTCATGACCACAAAAGAATCCTATCACTATTTTGCAATTAAGTTAAAAGTAAGAAGCAAACCAAGGTATTCTATAATAGTTGTGGGGACTTGAGTCAGACCCAGCTCTTCAAATTCTAGTGATGTTTGAAATAACCAAATTATCTCTATCCATATGTTTGCATAAGCTGTATCAAAGAGCATACTCTATGAACAATGTGTTGAGTCACAAGAGTCAGAATTGAAATTTGACACCATATAAAGACACCCAGAATCTTACAACATTTGGAAAACTAGTCATGACATTAATGCGCAATAACTGGTAAGTTATATGATGCACTATAAATACATCTTATATGCACTATAAATGACCACAAAAAGATCATGCTTAGAAATGACACAGTTAAAATACCAAATCTCAGGCCACCATACTTTCCCACCCCTGTTCATGTACAGGGATGCTAGCACCTGACACCATGACCAGTCTCTACTTCTAGGCATGGCGAGTATATGAACAAGTTAGATTACACTCCTTAGAATATTTCTATTTTATTAGAGGCTACTGTTGGGAGATATTTCCTGTAACTACAAAGAAAATGGAAGTAGAACTTTTTCCCTGCGTGTTGTCTTCAAAACAAGCTCTAAGTAAATAAAACTTTGTGTCCGTGCCTGCAATGGATAACTCCACCTTGGGTATTTCTTTCTTCATCATAACACCAAACAATGGGATGCTTCTGCAGCATAACACTAATCTGTGTTTGAATAGTGGCATATCCAGTCATATTAAGCTATTCCTACATACCTGACACATGCTCCCAAGGAAATTATTATCCAGAAGGTCATTACTAAGTACTGCTCACTCTTGCAAGCCACAGACAACATGATTCTCCATATCTAGCACACTGAAGGTACTCTAAGCTAAACATACAGCAGTGCCTGGAAAAAGTAGGGAAGCAGGAAGGGGAGTGTCAAGCTGAAACGCTTTTAAAACAGTATTCAATTTGAAAAGTTTCCCCTCTCTGAAACTCATTTACTTAAGGATTTTACTTTATCCATTGTTAGCTTCTCAAATACTTAATCTTTAATAATGTTTCATGACTATGAGATAATTTTAGTGTCTATTTAAAAAGAATAAAAATTTCTCATGAGCCTCCCCCAAGAATCCTCCATCAATATAGAATCCAATCACATTACCCAATGGCAGACATGGTAATAAAAGCAGAAGGTATTTCTCTTGCTTTAAGTTAGATTTTCCTCTAAATTTTTATTTTTATAAAAACAATTTTGTAACCATAAAGAACAAAAGCTTAAAAAAAATCACTCGAACCCACTGATTAGACACTCACCCCACCAGTGAAGAGACTGATCAGCTCCATGGTTTGGGGGCAGAATAATAAAAAGCAAAGAGGCATGTGGTGGAACAAAGCTGCCCACCCTGTGACAGCTCAGAAGCAAAAAGACAGCTGCAAAGGTTTGGGTCCCAATAGCCCTTCAAAGGCATTTCAAGCTTTAGCAGTAGATATTTACAAGGTATTAAAGATCCAAATCACAACATATGGTAAGGCATACTGTTAAGAAAGTTATGAAAACAAGACAGAGATCCGAAACTTCAAACACGTTAGTGCCTGACTGAAGATAATAAAATGTGATCAAAGACAATGAGTTGGACTCCAAGAAAGGAATAACCATTCCAACAAATGCTCCTGAGACGCATGATAGCTACACAAAGTTAAATATATAAACTCACACAGTATAAAAACAACTTACTGAAAATGGATCGGAAGTATAAATGTAAAAGCTACCATTAAAAACTACCTAACAAAAACACGGACTTAAAATTTGTGACCCTGAATTAGACATAGTTTCTTAAATATGATAGCAAAAGAATAAGCAAGTCACAAATATCAAATGCCATCAAAACTTTAAAATTTTATGATTTTTTAAAGGTTTTAAAAACTATTTTATTTATGTGCACTTATGTGAGCCTGTGTGAGTTTATTTGTACCACATGTGTGCTGGAGCCTGCAAAAGGCAGAGGGAGGGGTGTTAAATCCCCTAGAACTAGAGATAAAAGTGGCTTTTGAGCTACAATGTGGTGCTAGGAGCTAAACTCAGGTCCTTGGCAAGAACAGTAAACACTCTTAACCATTAAGCCATCTCCTAGGCCCTGAAAATTTATGACTTCAAGGACACAAATTTTAAAAGTGTAATTGCAATTCACATAAGAGGAAACATCTGCAAATCCTGAATCTGACGAAGGTGCTGTCACCAGAATTCAGAGAGGAAGTTTAAATTAATTTATGGGGGGAGGGTAGACTAAACTTTTAAATTAGCAAGTGATTTGAACAAATACTTCTCCAAACAAATTGTACATGGCCAATAAGCAAATAAACTGTTCACCATCATTATACACTAACTAGGAAAATATGAATAAAAACCTCAATGCGGGGTAGCTTTCACAGTCATGAGATTGGTTATCAACAGCAAGAAACAAGCCTGTGTTACTCAGGATCTAGGGAAATTAAAATGCTCATCGAATACTAATACACAGATTTATGTAATCTCTTTGGAAAATGATTTTCCAATTAGTAAAAATGCTAGATGTAAAGTTTCCATTTGACTCAGGAAGTTCACTACCAGGCAGATAGAGACCCAAGGAGGACAGAATGTGAACACACAAACACAATTGTCAATAGACAAAATAACTAAATATCGGAAACAACTCAAATATCTACCAAGTAATGAATGAACAGGAACAACCATGAAAAACGACTCATCTGCCAAAAGAAGGCACTCCTCATTAACTTAAAAGACATCATGGTAAGGAACAAAGAGCCAGTTTTAAAAGTTCATGTTGTTTGATTCCATTTACATGACATGCCCACAATGGTTTCCTAAGACCAAAGGTAGAGGAAAATCATGAGTGGATATTAATTGTTTGAGTGCTGATGTTCCCTCAGTCCTGTGAATTACGTTTTAAATGCCTAAAAGAGTTAATTTTATGGTATTTGAATATCACATTGATAAAAGTGCTTTTAAAAGATGTCATGATCTGAGAGACAGCCAGGAATAACTAACAGACATAACAAGACCCATTGCCGAGCATCAAATAATTGCATATATATATATATATATATATATATATGTATATATGTGCATAGAAGCAACATATATAGCATAGAAGGGAACTCATTGAAGGTGGGATATGACAAGAAAACTTCATGAAATGGAAAGTATTCTGCCAGGGGCTAACCCAGCATCCAGATTCCTGAGGAAGACAGTGAAAGTGGGCATGCAATGATCAATGATGGTGATGGGGCCAAAAGCTACTGGCGTCTGGCAATGTAACTTCTGCTGATAGCATCAAGGGATTAAGAAAGAAAGGTTAGTTACTTGGGTTCTTTTCTCTCTGGATCATAGCTGGGCTAGAGGCTCAGAGTTCATTAACTCTTTATGAGCCAGAGATAAAAGAAAAGAAAGGAAGGAAGTTATGCGCATGCGCGCACGCACACACACACACACACACACACACACACAAACGCACGCACACACACTGGCCAGGCCCAACCACCTGTTTCATCAATTTCACAAGTGTACATGTATACTTATATATATGCACATATATGTATTTACATACATATAGACAGGCAGATTAAATATACATACACATACAAATATATATGCATACAAATATATATACATACATATATATACATGTATGTATATATATGTATGTATATATATATTTGTTAGCTGGAGCAGAGCCCCAATTGTCACACCTTATTTCTTCTCTCAGCCTTTTTATACCTTCTTAGACAAAAGTTCTTTATAAAATTACATCATAGATAAAATGTTACACAAGAGGGGAGTTACAGAAGGATGTTGATACTAAATTCAAAGCAGTGTTTCATTCTATAAACTCATCATGAGTTAAAAGCAACAGCTTCGCATGGCCTTGCTTTATCATGGTGCACACCTGAGATTTTATCCTTAGGCCCAACCTAGAATGATTGTTTTTCCTTGACCACAAATTTATCCCAAGCCTACTCTTCTATTTAGTGGAATTTATGAAAGTTCATTGTATTCCTTATTATACAGCCTTTACTTACTGTTCTATGGGAAGGGGCCACATTCTATTCTTGATTCTAAATTTATTACATCTTTCTGGCAAAACAACTAAAACCATCTCCTTAATTCTTTTTTCCTAAAATTATTTGAATTGAATCAGGAATGCTATAAAGTCATTAATTCATATAAACATTAATTCATGTTGATCTTCAGGAAATTTGTCCAGTAAGTTGGGCTGATGCCCAAGAATCACTGGGAAATAATGGCAGGAAAGGCATATCAGCAGTGAGAAGCAATCCTGGGATGAAGTCTCTAGGACTGTGCCTCTCCAGAGTGCACCAATCATAGCCATGCAAAATGGTGGGCCATCCCCAGGGAACTCACATACTTGCCGTAGTCTTTCCTAGATGGCTTCCATTAGTATTCGGTTCAAATTTGAATTGAATCTTAGCAAATAGGTGTAAATACATGGAAAGAGAGAAAAAGAAAAGACTATCATACATAGAAGGAAAATGAAAGTACATGAACTAGTCACTTGATATGATTGGGTGGATGAGAGTCCCCCAGTACAGTGATGCTTCATTAGGAACACCTGCATTTACCTGTCAGCAAAAGCACAACTTGTGAAGGTGCAACTGAGGCCATCTAAGAAAGCAAGGCAAGGACTTGGAAGCATCTTAGTTATTTTTCTGCTGCTATGAAAAACATTATAAACAAAGTAACTTATGAAATAAATAGTGTAAGTGGGCTTATGTTTCCAGAGAGAGTTTATGATGGTGGGTTGAAAGTAAGGCAGCAGGAAGCTGGAGCAGCAGCTGACAGCTCACACCTCATCTACATGCAGGAGGCAGAGAGCACATTGGGAGTGGCTAGGGTCTTTTGAAACTTCAAAGCCTGACCCCAGTGACTCCACCAAAGCCATGCTTCCTAATCCTTCCCAAAGAATTCCACTAACTGGGTTGCCAGTATTCAAACATATGAGCCTATGGTGGCCATTCTATTCAAACCAGTACAAGAAGCTGAGGAGCAAAAGCCTCAAGGAGCAAGGAAGAAGCAGAACACTGCTGCAGAGAAACTCTTAAGAATGAGAGCTGTGCAGAGGCCATTGGATCCAGGGCTAGGGGAAGCAAGTTTGGGGTAGTATTAATAAAAAAAGACAGAGTACAGTTTGTGAAAAGTAATGTGCTATGGAAAATTCACACTGAGAGCTGACGCTGACTTTGGGATGTCTTTACTGTAACGGAGGGTGATGGGCAATAGTTTGCAAAATAATCTGGGCAAGAAATTGCTCAGAATAGATAGGTACGAGGCCACTTCTTTTAGCAAAATGAATGAAATGTATTGCCTGCTACCATGTGGTGTCACTCTGAGGGCAGAGACTCCATTGGATCTATAGAATTCAGATGTGTTAGTCTGCATCTTCCTGACAGTGGTTAAAGTAAGGTATGTAATGCATACCTGGCACTAAAGATCAGCCATGTCACTCCTGGTTTATTGATATCCCAGTGACGTTTTGACAACATTGTGTGGCATTCACCACGTGCTTGATCCTCAGCTTTGACAGGAATAACCACTATGGCTACACAGTCAAAATAAAATTTCAGGCTACAACATCAAGAACAAAGACACAGCTCCAGGGAGCATCTGAGAGGTGAATGGGTGCATAAGGTTCAAAAGCTCTTGTCATGGAACAGTTCAGACATGTAATAACTCAGGCATGACAGCTCAGACATGTAACAGCTCAGACATGTAACAGCTCAGACATATAACTGCTCAGACATGACAGCTCAGACATGTAACAGCTCAGATGACTCTTCATTAGCTCCCACAGTAAGGGGCCACCCACAGCTAGCCAGAGCAGCTCTGCCCTCATCTTCGGAGGAAATGAAACTTATTAAAAATTGGCTTTTGCAACTTTACAGGAAACAGCTGCAGTGAATCTCAGCATATGACAGGAAAAGTGTGTGTGTTGCAATATGTTAGAAAACTTTATTAAAACTTCTTAAACCAACCAACACAGAAAATTTTCTTTTAAATAAATTCTATTCTGGTGCTTGTCAAAATAATAAGTAAAGCTCACTCTAGGATGTATTTATAGACCCTTCACCACAAAGAACTGCAAGAGAGTCACTTGAACATCTTGTTCCCAGATGCACTATATTGAATTAATTCCTTACTTTTTCTTATACTGTAACATGTTTAAAATTTTACTATATTGTAGGTGAAATTTTTCTATCTTAGATTTAAGCAAAATAATGGCATATCTTAAGAAACCTACATGAAAGAGTTAATGAAGTATTTAGTTAGGTACATGACTAACACTTGAAGGAAGTGCTAGAAAAGATATTTAAATGGTGATGTTAATGATAACAATGATAACTTAGAGCCAGGTTTTCACTTTACTGAAAGGCCATAACAGAAAAAGTTCTTAAGAGGAGACTGTACCATCTTCACCTCTTCTGCAGAGAACAATGCATTGTATGGGGAAGTGAGAAGGGTGTTTGATGATGCAGGTCAGGGATATCCCTATGTCTAATCCTTCACTTCTATTCTCCAACAGAAAAATAGGACAGGGCTCCATTCCTTTCCTACCAATCCCAAAGAAGAATAAGAAAAATGACTACCCAGACTCTGGACTCTCATTCTTTTTAATAAGTGGGGCTCAGAACTGGAGAAGAATATATGAATGTGGTGGTTTGAATGAGAATGACCCCAAAGGTTTATACATTTAAATGCTTGGTCTTCGGTCGGTAGAATTGCTTGGAAAAGATCAGGAGCCTTCTTGGAAGAGATGTGTCACTGGGAACAAGCTTTAAGGTTTCAAAAGCCCATACCATTCCCAAGTAAGTGTCTGTCTCATGGTTGTGTCTCAGGATGTGAACTCTCTGCTTCTGCTCAGCACCATGCCTGCCTGCCTGCCTGCTGCCATGTTCCCATGATGGCTACAGACTCACCCTCTGAAAGTGTAGACCCCAATGAACTGTTCCTTCTGTAAGTTGTGTTGGTCATGGTGTTTTGTCACAGCAATAGAAACGTAACTAAGACAGGGAGAGGGTACACAAGAGGACACTCATGGCCAAGAGTGTGTGTAACAGAACTAGATTCTGCATTTAAACCAAGGATTGCTCCTATGTCATAGCATCTCAAAACAAGGCTGGTGCCCATGCAGGTTCCAGGCTAACAGCCGCTGAGAGGCTGCCCCCGCTCCAATAGATTAGTACTGGCAACATTAGGTGGGCTCAGGGGGTTTTGAGAAAGAGTTTATGGACTTGGAAAGGGACAGCTGTAGGAGAGGAGAATGGGAGGCAGGAGAAAATGAGGCAGATTTAATCAAAACACATTATGTGCATGTATGAAACAGAAAATTATATTATAGTTTCCTTATTTCACTTAGTAAGTTATGGACCTTGTTAAGAGATGGCCATCTGTTTGCTCTTTATTGCTGTGATAAAACACTAACTGAAACAAACTAGCAGAGGAAAGTCCATATTTGGTTTGTAGGTTGCAGTCCATTACTGAGGAAAGTCAGGGCAGAAACTCAGTGCAGAATCCTGTAGGCGAGAACTGAAGCAGAGACTGTAAAGACACATTGCTTTCTGGCTTACTCCTGGCTCCCTTCTCATACACCCCAGACCCACCTGCCTAGGAACGGTGCTGCCCATTGAATGATTGGTTGAGCCCTTGTGTATCAATTAGCAAGTTGAGAAAATGCCCCACAGGTTAAGAGCACCGGCTGTTCTTTCAGAGGGTATGTGTTCAATTTCCAGCACCTACAATACAAGTCAAAACCATCTGTAACTCCAACCCTAGGGGATATGATGCCCTCTTCTGACCCCTGCAAGTATTCATGCACATAATGTGCAAACACATGCATGCAAAACACCCATACAGCTAAAATTTAAAATTAAGAAAGAAAAGAAAGGAAATGCCCACAGATATGGCTATAGGTCAATCTGAGGGAGGTGATTCTCCAGCTGAGGTTCTCTCTTCCCAGGTTGCTATGGGTATGTGTCAAAATACCAAAAGCATGTGCATGCTTACAGGCTAGGTTCTTATTTTTCCACAGAAATTACTCCAGTGAGAAAGCAGCCCATGTAAGGAAAGAAAGTACTCACCACATATGTAGAGGAAGTGCGCCTGAGACCTTATTCTTCAGCACTTACTAACTGTAGTCCCCTGAGAAAGTTAACTTCCTGTGACTCACTTCTCGAAAGTAAATCTGTACTAGTCTCCCAGTAAGTCCTGTCTGCTCCTAGTAACATTAGCCATGTGGCAGCATTCACACGTGCTAAGAATAGCGACAGGACACTGTCACCCGTGTAACTTTTCCAAGCTAGTTAATGATACTACTTTAATGTAGGAGAAAACATTTCCTAGGACCCTGATTGACCTAAAGACTTGGCCGCCACCTTACGAAGAGACTCTCTGCCTGCAGGTAAGTCTGCGAGGCCAGCAGAGGGGACACACGAGACTTAGAGAACACTGGTCATTGCCCACGTCACTTCCTTACTACCCAGCAGACATGAATCAGGCTAACCACAGGGTTCCTTCTCAGACAGCAACCCTGAGTCCTCTCTCCTGCTAAAACAATTCCCATCTCTTGTTCCTTTAATGATTCCCATCCTTTGAGCAGGACCATTGACAAAAACTGTCTCGTTCTAAGGTCCATAACATCACAATCATTCCAGCATCATGTTGTCTCCTTTAGAAAAATACAAACAAATCCACAAGAGAAAGGAAACCACCATTAATGCACAAAGATAAATTAAAATTTAAAAAAAAATCCTACTCTTAGCCAGGAAGCTAATCATGAATTGATGCTGCTAGGAAAAGGGAAATATGTTTTCCTCAACAGTGTGGCCCTGGGTGCATCAACCTCCAGGGCAGGCCCAATGCTCAGGAGTAGTTGACCAGGCTTGGAGTAGTTGGTTGGTTGGTTGTCCACTTTTAGAGAGAAAAAGAACATGAAGTCGGGTAGTTGGGGAGGTGATGGAGGTCTGGGAGGAGTTGGGAAAGGAAAAAGAATAAAATATTCTTTTCTATATATATTAAATGAGCATATATTGTATAAAATTCTCAAAGAATAAATAAAAACATTATTTTCAAAAACCATTCTTTCCTAATCATGCATGTGGTGGTGGTGGTGTATGTGTGCATGCATACATAAGCATACATACGTGTGCGTGTGTGTGCGCGCGCGTGTGTGTGTGTGTGTGTGTGTGTGTGTGTGAAAAGAATTGACACTGACCCCACTTTCTCATTCAACAAACACTCAATGGATCTCACCACATGTGAAACTTGACAGCTGTGGGGCTTTTGGAGGCAAGAATACACACTGGATCGCTGATATTATCTGATCTGTTTGCACCTCTGAGACACAACTGAACACGAATAGTTAGAATGCCTCCAAAATTATAACATGCCAGTATTGAGAATTATAAGGGCTGATTGACGTGCAAAGGTGTTAATGAAATGGCAAGTTAAAAAGGTGTAGTATAGAAAATCTACACAATCTGACCTTAGTTTGGTGAATTTTTACAAAACCATATACATCTGTATGTAAAATGAATCCTGACATACAAAAGTTTGCAAATCCTGAAGAACTATTCTCAACAGCAGTGTCCAGGTATCCAGAGCACAGGCACTTTCGCTCCTCTTCTTTCTGTTCTTCATTGTCTGTGTTTTACAGTTGTACTTGTTTGATTTAAAAAGCAGTAGAATGTGGTGTGGCACTGCTTTGGTGAGGGTCAGACAGCAAAGGGGCTGGAGAAAGGAACAGGAAGTGTCTGGAAGCACACACTTCTCAGCATAAGTGAGTCAGAACACATTTCCCAGCATAAAATACAAAGAACAACAACATACTCAAATTTACAAATGGGGTAATAGTGAGCAATGAAAGGACTTTGGAACTATAGAAAGACGGGATGGGCTTATTTGAAGCAAGGAAGTAAAGGTACTTATAAACTCCAGATAAATATTGAAGTCCAGAGCAGAACTTGTAGCTGAGAAAGAGAAAGCCCAGAGGTGCTGGGGAAGCTGCATAAGTCCACTGAAACCACCCTGCCTTTCTCAGTGGGTATGAAACGGGGCTGAACTGTTTGGGTGGGTATGCTGCTGCATTCTACTCTCTGGGTTGGAGAGGTGAAGTCAATTCTTGAATCTGTATTGAGACAGTTGACAAATGAAAGAGAAACCCAAAGTGAAATAAGACAATAACTACGGTTACTACTAAAGGCACTTTAAGTGTATCTATAGACAAATACCCATATATGTAAATCTAATGCTTGCTAAGGTTAGTGAACGCAGATGTATGAAGTTCCATCAACAGTAACCGGCAAGCAGGAACCCTTGATGATAATGTTGTGATCGAGGGTCCACACATAACAGAGACACTGAAACACATGGTTTCTGAATATGGTTCACTAAAGAGGCCTCTTTGTGGAAAATAAAGGCCAGGAAATCACCCTTCGCTGGGTCAGCATTTTTTAATATGTGCTGAAAGATGATGTTTTCAGACATATGTCTGCATGACTCTGTTGGAAGTGTGATGTTTCATTATATGCTATATAATATATTCTAAACAATAGTATCATTTTCCTTCTGTTCAAACAAAGGTGGAAAGGAGGAAGAAAGAAATTACAGTCATATTTTTCCCCATCTTTATTTGAAATTAGCTCATTGGCTTGTTTTTCTATTGCTATGGTCCCTATGCTTTATAATTCATCAGAACTTTGGTGTTTCTATGTGTTCATGTACTTAAAAATAGTTTGTGGTAGTTCTCATTTTTTAGAAAAAAAAAACCAACTGGTTGTAAATAACTTATCATTTGCTAAGAGAAAAAAATGTGCAAACTCCTTTTAAAAAAGAAAGAAAGAAAGAAAGAAAGAAAGAAAGAAAGAGAGAGAG